CAGCCGTGAGCAAGCCCCAGGCACCGAGAGAAACCTCTTCTTGCCCTGGAATCTGCAGTCCAAGGGTCTCGGGGAGTCCCGTGTGTCCTCCTGGAAGAATCTGGGGGAGAAAATGCACTGGAAAATAAAGGAAGCATTTAGCTTCTTGTCTGTACCCAACAACTATGACATTATGGTTAAAAACTCAAAATACACAGACTGTGCTAAAGTATGAAATGTTTATGTCACACAAGGTTCACAGATGCCAGGGCCGTCGTCGCTGAGTCGACACAGAGTCTCCTGGGAAACCTCAGTTTTCTAGAAGCCGGCTCACTACAATGATTACTACAATATTTTTCCCTTATTGAACTTCTAGAGGACAGATGCTAAACACAAGAAAATGTATCCTTGTTGGAGCTTTTCTTTTAAAAGCAAATCATGCCTACTTTAGCAATAAATTAGTAAGAAATATCTCAAATAAATAAATAAGAACAGGATAAGCAGTAATGATGGGGGTATGCTGAACAGAGAGCAGAAATTGCCCCATCTGTGCCGCTCTGCAGGGTGGGCTGGACATGGGCAGGGCTTGGAGACCGCTGCTTCCTTCCTGTCTGCTGTACCCAGGGCTGTGCATCCATTTCCAATTCTGGGTATAGCTTTTCCATAAGATTTTTGGAAGACTTTCTTATATGCCTGGATTTCCACATTTTTTTCACACTGAAACAAACATCTTTTAATCTGTTTTCTGGGAACGTTTTTGAAGTAATCTCATAGTTTCTACTTTTATTAATGTTAAGAACTTTAAAAAGTCTGGGGCCGGCGCCATGGTGTAGTGGGTAAAGCCATTACTTGCAGTGCTGGCATCCCATATGGGCGCTGGTTCAAGACCCGGCTGCTCCACTTCCTATCTAGCTCTCTGCTATGGCCTAAGAAAGCAGTAGAGGATGGCCCAAGTCCTTGGGCCCCTGCACCTGTGTGGGAGACCCAGAGGAAGCTCCTGGCTCCTGGCTTCAGATCAGCACAGCTCTGGCCATTTGGGGAGTGAACCATCAGATAGAAAACCTCTCTCTCTCTCTCTCTTTCTCTCTCTCTCTCTCTCTCTCCCCCCACCCCGCCTCTCCTCTCTGTGTAACTCTGATTTTCAAACAAATAAATAAATCTTTAAAAAAACTCAGCTACAAAAATAAATGTTATTTTTAATACTGGAGAGTTAGTGAACACACAGCTTCAAATCTTATGATGATCTGATGCTTGGACCATTTGAAACAATTTTCATGAAGCAAGGCAAGCTTCTGAGGCATCAGTTAATACAATCATTCACAGGGAAGTTGTGTTTAGAGTGGTAGGCTGGATAGTATCATTACTGGGCCCCATTTTTCTGGTGAGAAACTGAGTTGGAGAGAATAAGCACCTTGCTCAGGATCACAAATCTGTCGAGTTGTGGCATTGCAGCCTGGACACAGCCAGGCTGACTGCCTCAGCAGTCAGTACAATAAACATAAGGGCACCTGCAGATGTTTGTGAAAAATGCATAGGAAGGGGGCTGGCGCCGTGGCTCAATAGGCTAATCCTCCACCTGCAGCGCTGGCACCCCGGGTTCTAGTCCCGGTCGGGGTGCCGGATTCTGTCCTGGTTGCTTCTCTTCCAGTCCATCTCTCTGCTGTGGCCCGGGAGTGCAGTGGAGGTTGGCCCAAGTCCTTGGGCCCTGCACTCGCATGGGAGACTAAGAGAAGCACCTGGCTCCTGGCTTCGGATCAGCGTGGTGTAACAGCCGCAGCGGCCATTGGGGGGTGAACCAATGGAAAAGGAAGACCTTTTTCTCTGTCTCTGTCTCTGTCTCTCTCTCTCTCACTGCTCATTCTGCCTGTCCAAAAAAAATGCATAGGAAGAACCATTTCTACTACCTCACAAATACCAAAAATATGCTCACTGCTACACTTGCTAAGGCAAGAAGTCTAACAAAATATCTTAAATGCACTTTCAACTTGGACTAACCTTAAATGGATTTTCCATGTGTTAACAGGAAGACCTCATTTATGGAATATTTTGATTAATCAGAGTTTCATTGATGTCCCAGGAAACAGGACCTTCTTCAGAGATGTCACTCAAAAGAAAGTTCCCCCAAATCTTCCAACAATGGTGTTTGATGAATGCACCTGTGCACCCCGCCCCCACCCCCAAGCCCAGCAGCAGTTCCGTGCCTTTCCTCTCAAGATAAAAAGTGTTACATCAGCCAAAGAGCAGGGCACCCAAAGCCTGAGGTAAGCTCTTCCTACTCTTCGGTGATTAATTGGTCTGTATTCCCTTGTGCTAGAAATAATAAGACTTAGGTAATGGAAACCAGAGCACATCCCCTCAGTGGCAGAGGTTCTTATGGTAAGGAGTGGGTTATTAATTCCGACATCGCCAGCCTGTGTTCCCCCAGCCCACCCGAGCAGTCTACTCACCAGCTGTGAGGAGAACTACCCTTATGCCAGACAAACAAGGACTTATCTAACCCCAAATTCTTTCGCTTGGTGTAATACTTAACTCCGGGGTGAGCAGTCTACACGGAAATGAAATTGATGATCTCTTTGATGGGAGTAGCTTTGACAACGTAAACAGAGATCATCTGTAAACAATAATAAGGTCTGGCAGTCACCCCATGGTTGATGCAGCATGTTGAATCCTCTCCACAAACCTTTGAGGTACACATTGTCATTATGCCTGTTTTGCCAACAAGGAACAGGCTAATTGACGCACTTGAACTTGCCCAAGAACCCAGTTAGTAATGGCACAGTCCAGACCCCAGTCTTCCTTCTCCACAGCCTGTTTCCTCCCAGTTTGTGCAGCAACCAAGCTGCTCCTGAAGCCACAGTAGCTTTTGCCTTCATGCACTTTCTCAATGGATGGATCCTAAAGTTCCTGTCGCTCTCCTTTCTGGGCACATCCCACAAAACTGCTTAAATTGCAAGGGACTCTTCAGTTGAGTGTTGACTGGACTCTTAGGACACTAACTTTGAAGTTTACAAAATGTAAACACATTTTTCTAGACCAAAACTGAATTTTTTTTCTTTTCAAAGTAACATTTTTTTCTTTTTAAAAAATATTTATTTATTTGAAAGGCAGAGTTACACACAAAGATAGATAGAGAAAGAGAGAGAGAGAGAGAGAGAGAATCAGAGACAGAGAGAGGTCTTCCATATACTGGTTTGCTCCCCAAATGGCTGCAACTGCCAGGGCTGCGCCAGGCAGAAGCTGGAAGCTAGGAGCTTCTTCCTGTTCTCCCATGTGGGTGCAGGGGCCCAAGCACTTGAGCCATCTTCTGGTGCTGTTCCAGCGCATTAGCAGGGAGGGGGATTGGAAGTGGAGCATCTAGGACTCGAACCTGTGCACATATGGGATGCTGGCTCCACAGGTGGTGGCTTTATTTGCTACACCACAATGCTGGCCCCCAGAACTGAACTTTAATTATGAACCCTTACTCTGCTGGTTGAGTGAACATTTAATTTCAGTCATTTAAGAATTCCCTCTCTTGCCCCCTACTTTTCCAAGGATTGCATTCAAATTCCAAGGCGCTTAAAAATTATTTATTGATTTGAAAGGCAGAATGAGAGAGGGAAAGACAGAATCTTCCATCTGCTAGTGTACTCCCCAAACAGCCACAGTGGCTGTGGCTGGACCAAGTCGAAGCCAAGAACCAGGAACCATCCATGTTTCCCAGATGGGTGGCAGGGCCCCAAGTGACTTAGGTCATCTGCTGCTGCTTTCCCAGGTGCATTAAGCTGGGAACTGGATCAACAGCAGAGGTGCTGGAACTTGAGCCACAACTCCAGCTTGGGATGCTGGCATTGTAAATAGCAACTTAACTCACTGCACCACAGTGCCATCCCTCCAGCATGCTTCTGAGGAGCCACAAGATCGGAGATGGAGGCCGGGGTGGTCCTCCCCTCCCCAGTACCAACATACCTGTCAGCCTTCCCCTCCCCTGAGGGCAGTCACTTGGTCTTTCCAGCTTCCCTGGCCTTCTCAGCCACCAGGTGTGATTTTGTCAAGAGTTGGAAACTCTTGCCTAAGACCCTTCCTGGGCCAGCACTCCAAGGCCTCTCTCACTGAGGTCTTGCCCAAGTCCCAGGCCCATCTCAGAAGTAGCAGGGCAGAGCCCTTCCTTCTCAGGGAACTGCCCACATCTACTCTAGGGGGTGGAGTTCTCTTTACAGCAATCATTTAAAGTGTCTGTTTGCCTTACATTTCATATAAATTATAGACAGCATAATTTATCAAATAAAACTTTTAAAAACTCCATAAAATTCCTAAACTGTAGTATAAAGGAGAAACAGACTATAATAAAATCATATGTGCTGAAATATATGGATGCAAAAAAAAAAAAGATTGCAGGAAAAATGTGAATGCCCCATGGTGAAAGACATTGTATAGGAGTCAGATGTGCACACACCTGGGCGGAATCAATGTGAAGATGCAACTACAAAGGAGAACTAAAGGGACATAGTAGGTTAAGCCTCCGCCTGCAGCGTTGGCGTCCCATATGTGTGCCAGCTGCTCCACTTCCGATCCAGCTCTCTGCTGTGGCCTGGGAAAGCAGTAGAAGATGGCTCAGGTGCTTGGGCCCCTGCACCCACGTGGAAGACCCAGAAGAAGCTCCTCCGGCTGTTGTGGCCATTTGGGAAGTGAAACAGCACAGGAAAGACCGTTCTCTCTTTCTTTTCCTTTCTGTCTGTAACTCTGCCTCTCAAATAAATAAATACGATGATTTTTTTTTTTTTTGACAGGCAGAGTTAGACAGTGAGAGAGAGAGAGAGAGAGAGAGAGAGAGAGAAAGGTCTTCCTTCTGTTAGTTCACCAACCAAATGGCTGCTTCGTTGATCCAAAGCCAGGAGCCAGGTGCTTCCTCCTGGTCTCCCATGCAGGTGCAGGGCCCAAGCACTTGAGCCATCCCCCACTGCCTTCCCAGTCCACAGCAGAAAGCTGGACCAGAAGAGGAGCAACCGGGACTGAATCTGGTGCCTGACTGGGACTAGAACCCGGGGTGCCGGCGCTGCAGGCGGAAGATTAGCCTAGTGAGCTGCGGCGCTGGCCAATGCGATTTTTTTTTTAAAAGGAGATTGAAGCCACATACAAGGGTACTTCAAAAGAGATTGTGTGAGTAAGTTTACTTTTGTGCAAAAATGTTTGATGCCCATACCATTTTCACAATACACTTTTCCCATGAATTTTTGAAGAACTCCTCAAACTGTTCATGTTCAAGTACCACATCTCATATTACATCAGTAACTTCTTTACAAAATGAAGAGTAACTCTTTTTTTTGTTTTTGTAAATAAAGTTTTACTGGAATACAGCCATGTCTATTCATTAACATATCATGAACAGCCCATTTTTCTCTTTTTCGAAACCTTCTATTTAAGGAACACAAACTTCATGCATTTCATAATTACAACTTTAGGAACATGGTGATTCTTCCCATTGTACCTGCTGGCCCATGGCCAGGGACACATTAGCCCTAGAACACTCTGGAAAGCTCATCATCCCTAGCACAGAGTGGTGAGTGGAACCTGGAGCAAGCAGTCATCTACCTCAGGCAAATCCGAAATGATGAAAGGGAAGCCGCAGGCAATTCTGAACTCAAAGGGATCACGAGGTGCAACACAGGGTCCAGTCAGCAGAAGACACAGAAGTAGAAAGGGAAAAAGGGGTGCAAAGGAGGACACTTGGGAGAGGAAGTGGGGTGGGATGTCCAGCAGATGTGCAAGCAGGAGAGCTGGAGAATGAGCTCGGCTCATTCCTGCTCTGGGAAATAGCAAGGATTTTGCTAATTTTTTCTCCTTTATCTTTTCAATCAGCCAACACTTAACATCAGCACAACCTTTAGTGAAAACGGGTATTGGGGCCGGCGCTGTTGCGTAGTGGGTAAAGCTGCTGCCTGCAGTGCTGGCATCCCATGTGGGTGCCGGTTTGAGTCCTGGCTGCTCCACTTCCAATCCAGCTCTCTGCTATGGCCTGGGAAAGTGGTGGAGATGGCCCAAGTCCTTGGTTCACTGCACCCAGTGGGAGACATAGAAGAAGCTCCTGGCTCCTGGCTTCCAATCGGCACAGCTCCAGCTTTTACGGCCAGTTGGGGAGTACCTCTCTCTCTCTCTCTATGTCTTTCTCTGTCTCTCTCTCTTTAACTCTGACTTTCAAATAAATAAATAAATCTTTTAAAAAAAACAAATATTGCCTTATTGTCAGCTGGGCATGGGTGGTCTTCCTCAACCCAGGACATTGGGTTTTGATGAGAATAAATGAAATTTAAACCTTAAAAGTTTAATACATTTTTAGAATTTCATATCATACCTTGGAAAGTCAAAAAAGCTCTTAGCTTAGCATTCGTGCTCTTTCCCACTCTGAGGGCAGAGGGCAGGGGGGCAGCGCGAGGGACAGCGCTCATCTCCGTAACTGAGGGAATGTCGTGGTGGGACGAGGCATCCACAAGCGAGGAGGAAATAACCACAGGAATGCGGAAAGAAGCAAAGGGGGAGGAGAAACCCTGATCTTGGTAGAAAGGCACAAAGGGGGCATTTGGGAAAGGAAGGGAGAGGAAGAGACTGTGGTGCAGAGGCCCTCAACTTCCCTTGGCCCACACATCTCATGCTCAACAACTATTCTTCCCTGATAGCCAAACCCTGATTTTATTTCAAATAACAGGAGAGGATCTTCAAAATGTTCAGGAAAAATGCCTATTATGAAAAATCTTTGAATGGCTTTCAAAAAAGTTTTTGTACTATAACAAACATACCTTTGAATTCCATTTTTTCATGAACATTTTGAAATACCCATGTGTGTTCAACCCTAAATAATGAGTCATAATTTGTCTAGACCAGCCACAGAAATCCTATTTCCTTGACCAAGCAGTCAGCCTACCTCTTAGCATGTAGTTATGTGACCCAGTGCCAAAAAAGGTAATAAGGAGACTGCTAGGAGTTGTCTAGGAAACTTTTTCCTTTTCTGTTAAAAGGGACTACTACTGGGGGCTGGCACTGTGGCACAGAATGTGGAGCCTGTTGGAGTCTACCATATGGGCGCCGGTTGGAGTCCTGGCTGCTCCACTTCTGATCCAGCTCCCTGCTCATACACCTGAGAGGGCAGCAGAAGATGGTCCAAGTCCCTGGGACCCTGCCACCCACAAGGGAGACCCAGAATAAGCTCTTGGCTCCTGGCTTTGGTCTGGCCTGGCTCTGGTCTTTGCAGTCATTTGGAGAGTGAGCCAGCAGATAAAGATATTCTCTCTCTCTCTCTCTCTTTCTCTCTCTCATTCTCTATAACTTTGCCTTTCAAATAAATAAATAAGCCATGAAAAAATGAGGAAGGGGAGAATAGCATGGCTGATGCCACCTCTTTTCTTCCTGCTTCCAGTGTAGTCCATGATGCCTAGAGCAGCAGCAACTAGCTTGTAGCCACAAGGGAAAAAAATGAGAGAATTGTAGAGACACCAGCCCTGGCATCGTTGAGCCACTAAATGCAGCCAGAAGCTACCCACCTCCACACTTCTTGGTAGATGACAAAAAGTAGCACTTCTTGGTTTCAGCCACCCTTGATACAATCAGATCTTCCTGGCAGCATTTAAATGCAACTCCATAGAAAACTCATATTCCAAGAAGATATGTTTCCATTTTCAATTATCACAACAAAAGAAATTTACCTTTATAAATCTCAAAATGATATTTAGGTTATATTGGAAGAAACTCCACAAAGTATTATACAATTGTCTTGACTTCTATCAAAGTGGCCTCTGATACTTGAATATTCACAATTGTCAATTTGAGTTGAACTAAGCCAGAGAATCAATTACAGTCAGATTAAGAGACAAGGCATCAATCTGGAGTTAAAGGTTGACTCAAGAAAGCAAGAACAGGGGAAATCAAAGGGCAGCTGGCATTCCCAGCATCCCTGGGTAGAGGGAAAATTTGTGTCTGCAAGGCTGCATGTCGGACAGTAACAGATTGCCCACAGGGGCCATTGGTTCTGTTGGTGTTGGTTAGGGTCCACTGAGAGGTGATCTGACTGGCTCCCAGGGTCACAAGCCCAGAGCTGTAGCACATACAAGTGGCATTTGTATTAAGCAGTCATTAGATTCCCAAAATGTTCTGGAAGCTGAACATAAGTTGAAATCCACAGTCCTTGACCCCAAGAGTTATCCTCTGAATGAGGACGAGAATGGGGAGAACTCAACAGCAATGCCTAAGGGTGGGAAAGAAAATCAGAAAAAGAAAGAGGCTCCAGACGGATCCTGAGGACTCAAATCTTCCTTGAGAGAATTGCTTTCTCTTTTAATTCTGAACAGCATGGCATACTTTGAAACTGAGTTCTACTTAATTGACATCGAATATAAAAGATCCAAACCTGCAAAACAAATGGAAAGATCACTCACATTATCATATCCACATTCATTTTACATACTGCAGGGCTTCTTCATAAAGTGGGTCTTTCTGGTACTTCCTAGTACTCTCCAAGATGTGTATTAAGCAGACTTCTTTGGCAGCGTGTCCATGCAGTCATAATAACACCTTCCCATGTAAAGTGCTTCACAGTCCACAAAACCACCTGTGTGACCTCAGGACAATTCTATCTGATACTTTTGACAAGCTATGACTATGAGAGTAACAGGTCCTTCTATAACCATGTTTTTGTTCAAATGACAAATATTCATCTTTAAAAGAGGTTCATTTCTAGTTGTGAATAAAATTTAAGAATCTGCATGAGCTTCAAAGTGTTTTTACACCTAAATAAACACACCTTTAAATTCCACTTTCCACAAAAGCACCAAGATGTTAAGCTTCTCTTTTCATCTTTATGCATTGCCTGTTACTTTTCCACAGGCACGATAATTCTGATTAGGCAATTTTATTTTCTTTTTACTCCTACCATTAGAACGTGAGAAAATGCACGTCTCTTCACTTCACTGTTATTGCAGAAGACTGAAGAGATGTCCTTGAGATCCGGCATGTCTGATCTTGTACAGTCCCATGATCTTGTCCAGACCACTCTCAAAACTGCCACCCCCACATCCAATCAGAACAAAACTGTTCACTTTCCTGTAGGATGGTTTTCTCCCAGGAAGCGCCTTAAAAAGGGACTCTGCTGCTCAAAAGGAATGAGGCTTACGCTGGCGCTGCAGCTCACTAGGCTAATCCTCCGCCTGCAGCGCCAGCACACTGGGTTCTAGTCCCGGTCGGGGCGCCGGATTCTCTCCCGGTTGCTCCTCTTCCAGTCCAGCTCTGTGCTGTGGCCCGGGAGTGCAGTGGAGGATGGCCCAAGTGCTTAGGCCCTGCACCCGCATGGGAGACCAGGAGAAACTCCTGGCTCCTGGCTTTGGTTCAGCGTGGTGCGCTGGCTGCAGCACACCAGCCACAGCAGCCACTGGGGGGTGAACCAAAGGAAAAGGAAGACCTTTCTCTCTCTCTCTCTCTCTCTCTCTCTCTCTCACTGTTCATTCTGCTTGTAAAAAAAAAAAAAAAAAAAGGAATGAAGTTTGGCTTCAACCCCCACACTCTCTCATTTTTTTTTTAAGGTAAGACTGTGAAGCTTTTAGTAGATAATACAGGAGAATATTTCAAGACCTTGGGGTACAGAAGAATTTCTTAAACAAGACACAAGATACAGTATTCATAAATGAAAAGAAAATGAGAAGACAAGCCAGCAATGAAGGAGATTCTTTGCAAAACATATAGGAACGGGGATATTTGCAATAAATATAACAGACCAATTACTAAAATCTACAGTGTATAAAGAACTTCTTTTAAAAATCAGTAAAAGAAGAGACAGTAGCAAAATGGAACGGATTTGAACAGGAATTTTGCAGAAAAAATATGTGGCCAATAAGCACATAAAAAGATGTTGAAGATCATCAAAGAAATGAAAATCAAAACCACAATGCAGCATCAGCCTACTTCCATAAGCAGCAAAATTGAAAATTGTGACAAAACAGTGTTGAAAGATATGGAACAACAAAGGCTCTTATATATTGGAACAAGCACTTGGGGAGACCATTTGAAATACCCGCATTCCATGATCCAGCAATTGTACATCTAGGTATACCCTAGAAAGGCCTAACATATATGAATACAAGAAGGTTAATATAGGCATTGTTGATATTAGCCAAAAACTGAAAACAACTGAAATATCCACCAACAGTTGAAAGAATAAATTGTGGCATAGTCACCCAGTGGAATAGAAATGAAATGAAAAGGAATGAAGAATAATCATTCAAGCACAATGTTGAGTGGAAGATACAAGACACAACATATTGTATGCAGCATGATTTCATTTAGATAAATTTTTAAAATAGGCAATACTAAATTATGCTATTTAGCAGTACTCACATACACAGATGATGCTGCTATCAAGAAAAGCAACGAAATCAGCATAACAGAAGTCAGAAAAGCAGTTACCTGGAGAGGGATGGGAGGGCTCAGGATCTAGGAGGGACACGCCAAGTGCTGGATGAGTTTTCTCATCCCAAGTGGTAGTTACATGGGTGTTCACTTTATAATCACTTATTAAACTCTACACATGACTTGGGCAAATTTTCTATATCCATGCTAATGAAACTCAGACTGAATCACATGTGTTGCTAAGCAGTAAAAACTTTTTTGAGAAGCTTGATTCTACCACGAAGGAGACAGGGTAGCAGAGACAGGAAAATCCAGGATTAAAGGAATTTGGGCAGTTCAAAAAATTTGTAGAAAATGGAATTCAGGGGCTGGCATTGTGGTGCTGTGAGCAAAGCTTCCCTCTGTGGCACACGCATCCCATATCAGAATACAGGTTCAAGTTCCAGCTGCTCCGTTTCCGGTCAGAAGGCCCTGCTAATGTGCCTGGGAAGGCAACAGATGATGGCCCAAGTGTTTGAGCCGCTGCCACCCATGTGCAAGACGTAGATGGAATTCCAGGCTCCTGGGTTCAGCTTGGCCCAGAATGGGCTGCTGTAGCCATTTGGAGAGTGAACAGTGGATAGAAGAGCTCCTTCTGTCTCTCCCCTTCTCTCTTTCATTCCCCTTTTAGATGATCTTCAGCTTTGTTTTTTTTTTTTCTGCTTTTCTGACCCAGCAAGGTCTACTAGATGCAGCTTGGAGTGAAAGCTGCTACTCTGGTCATTTTTCTTTCTTTGGTCTATGGAGATTTTAAAGGTGGCATGAGAGGGAGATGACTGGGAGTTCATGGCTGTGGAGGCCACAGGCCTGCAGTTGTTGCCCTGCTCCAGACAGGAAACATATCCAGTGCAACCAACGCAGTCTTCCCTGTGAGCACTACAGTCTTTATGCCTTCCTTGGAATCTTCCCATATATATTTGACAGCCTTTCTCACGAGTTGGGCACAGTAGATCCAAAATTTCTTCATCATAAATCTCCAAGTAAGACACTTTCAGAGTCAATTCAAAGTCACTCTTTTTTATCCATTTCTTTGAAGAGCAGGTGTATTACCCTAGGAACGACTCCAACTGTTGGCTCATCTGCAGTAGATGCACCTCCCATGGACTGTGTTTTTCAGAGCCAGTCTGCCCATAGGCTAGCACGGTTGCATTGAATCCTTTAAAGACGCCTTTTACGAGTGGTGTCACTGCTGTATGGAAGAAAAGAATCAAACACAAAATCGTAGGTAAAGGATTGACCAGCATCAACTACCGCCTGAGGCTCCCTAGGCACGGAAGAAAGGCACATCTGGCAGCCCTCGATAGTCGCCTTGGGGACCAGAGAGCGACAGCGCAGGGCCGCTCCTACGGGAATGCCCTTCGCCTCTTCTCCCATGATCCTACCTCGGCAAGTCTCTGCAGGGGGAATTAAGAGTGGGCTTGCTGATGAATTTTGGTGGGTCCGACTGCGGTTAGGAGGTCGTTCTCCTCAGTTCCGGCAGAGGATGAGGAGGGTTACGGAACTCAGCCGTAAAGGTGGTAACCTTCGCTCCCAGTGACACGGCTGCTGCAGAGATTCACGCTTCTGTAGGTTTGGCTACGATGCACAGCGAGTCAGCCTGACACTGCAGAGTCAAGTGGTGTCAAACTAAATGTCCCTTTCTGGATTTTCCCTGGTCTCTCCCTCCACTCTCTCTTTACGCTTACCCTAATCTGTTCCCCCTAAAATAAAGTCTTCTCTAATAGCTGCTTCCTTGCCTTCTTTGAACCCCAAGATCCTAAAACCTGCCAAGTCTCTCTTGCCTGAAATAGCATGGATATATTTTCATGGAGTACATGCCACAGCTCTGCCTGACTTTGCACTGTTGATTTCCAACACTTTTCTGTAGAAATCAATTCTGTTTCCTGTTAGCTTGTTTGTTATGTGTCAGCACAACGTGAATGCATCATTGTAGACATCTGAAGTCCTAAGTCCCAGAGAAGTCGGGGCCCACATTTAGAAACAGGTGTCTTTCTAGGAGCCACTTGACTGCAAGTCTGTGACAGATGCCCAGGGGAGTCTCTGAGCCTCAGTTCACTCAAATGTGAATGAGAAGAGAAGCTATGAGCTTAAAGCATGTACTTCAAAAGGACTTATTTCATTAAATACTGCAGATAGACTCGAGGAGTTAAAACCAATGTGATGGCAGGCAAGGGAATTACTTAGATAGGCTTCCAAAAACCTGAGCTAGCGTCACCACTTGGTCATTTTAACAGTTGTGGAGCCTTGGGGAAATGATTTAAATTTTGCCAGCTTTTGTTTCCCCAGCAGCAAAATGAGGTTAGTTTCTGTTTTAGGACCAAATCCTTCCCCCCAAATGAAGAATGGCTGATTAATAAAATTTCAAAAATATGTTCAACCTCAGAGGTAATCAAAGCCCCATAAACTAATGCAATAGAATATTTTTAAATAGTATGACAAGTGCTCACTCCCTGTTGGTGGGGTGTTATGGACGGGCACTTCGAGAGTGCAGATGGTACACATGTTCGCAGTCAGTCGCCTTAAAAGATTCATTCTTTAACCCTTAAAAAATTACCTTAGCTTTACAAGATTTGTAGGTAAAGATGCTGATCAGGGAGTTATTGGGAGGAGGAAAACTGAACAACAGGGAAAATGATTAACTTGGTAGATTTTGTCATGCCATAGTTCATTTACATTTTTGCTCAAATGATGCTGATAGCTTATCCAAAGCAAAAGGGACAAACAAGTATTTCAATTATCTGAAGGAATTATGTAAGTTGTACTGTGAATTCATGAAAAATAGCATTATAAATAGCGGAACCCACCTTGACAAAGTATGAACAAGGGCAAGGTTTTTGGTCATTTAACCACCCAGAGTTTCCATTTGTTCTTGCACATAAAGGCTACTAATAGGAGGGTACAGAACGTTGCACTTCTACCTAGGATGCTACCCTGGGCCATCACCCTCAATAGTGCTGCCAGGCTGAGTCA